ACCGCCAGCGATCCGCAGGGCCTCGAGGACATGCTCGAGTACCACATCTACCACGCCGAGCGCGGCGACGCCCGCTTCATGCTGCTGCTGGCGCGCGTCTACTACCAGGGCAGCATCTGGGCGCCCAGCGATGCGGCGGGCGCAGTGCGGCGCGACTACAAAAAGTCCATGGGCTACCTGCTCCGCATCACCCGCCGCGTGTGGCCCAAGGACGCGGCGCTCGTCGGCCGCGGCGGCCCCACGGGGTGGGTGGCCAGGCAGGGCGACAAGGGCGAAGATGTGCAGCTCAAGGTCGACGACCAGACGCTGCTGCCCCAGGCCGGCTCGGCGGCCAGCCTGATTGGTCGGATGTACCTGCGCGGCGAAGGCGTGCGGCAGGACTTTGCACGCGCCTGGGTCTGGCTCAACCGCGGCGCCGACACGGGCGACGGCGATGCCTACAGCGGCCTCGGCGTCATGCTGCGCGACGGCCTCGGCGTCGACGTCGACGTCGGGCAGGCGGTGCAGTTCTTTGAGGCCGCAGCAAAGGAGCGCAGCGTCGAGGGCACCATCAACCTCGCTAAGGTCCACATCGACCTCGAAGACTACCCGGCGGCCATCAAGTACCTCGAGCTGGCCATCCGGTCGAGCAACTCGTTCGAGGCCTACTACCTCATGGCCACCGTCAACGCCCACCTGGCGCGCACCCAGAACAGCCCCGACCGGTGCCGCCTCGCCGTGGCCGGCTTCAAGCAGGCCGTCGAGCGCGGCGACTGGGCCGCGCCCATCTTTCACAAGGCCGAGCGCGCCTGGCGCCGCGGTAACAAGCACAAGGCACTCCTCGGTTGGGCCATGGCCGGCGAGATGGGCTACGAGGCCGCCCAGAACAACGTCGCCTACATCCTCGACCGCGACAAGCGCCGCCTCCGCCTTCCCCTCCTCGACGCGCGCACGCCCTCAGCCACCGAGGACAACAGCACCGACCGCCTCGCCCTCATCCACTGGACGCGCTCCGCCGGCCAGGACAACGTCGACGCCATGGTCAAGATGGGCGACTACTACTTCCACGGCATCGGCACCCGCAACCCGGGCCGCGCAGCCTACGACAAGGCCGCTGCGTGCTACTCGGCCGCCGCAGACCGCCAGGTCTCGGCACTGGCCTACTGGAACATGGGCTGGCTGCACGAGGAAGGGCTCGGCGTGGTGCGGCAGGATTTCCATCTGGCCAAGCGCTACTACGACATGGCCGTCGGCGTCAACGACGAGGCCTACCTGCCCGTCACGCTCAGCCTCATCAAGCTGCACCTCCGCGCCCTCTGGGCCGCCGTGTGGCGCAGCGACGCCTCCGAGTCGGCCCTCTCGCTCTTTTCCAGCTACGCCAGCCCGACGAGCCCCGACGACGCCGCCTACACCGAAGCCGACGAGGTGGCCCAGCGCAACCGGCGCAGGCTCGAGGACGAGCGCCGGCGCGGCGGCGTTGGCCATGGCCACGGTCATGGCATCGGCGAAGAGGGGGCCGGCATGGGGCCCGACGACGATCTCGGCATCGACGCCGGAGACGGGTTGGGGGATCCAAATGAGCCAGAGACGTGGCACAGCACGCGGCGGACCGAGTTTGGCGGCGGCGACGAGGCCGACGACGAGGAAATCGAGGAGCTCATCGAAGGCGGCCTGGTCGTCCTGGCGCTTGGCGTGCTCGCCTACCTCGCCTACGTCCGGCAGGGTGTCCAGCTGCGCATCGAGAGGGAGAGGCGGCAGCAGGCTCAGGCGGCGCTGTGGCAGGATGGAGGCGGTGGCGGCGAGCAGCGCCGGGACGAGGAGGGAGAGGGAAGGAGGGGGATGCAGCCGTTTCCGTGGGCGCCGGAGGGCGGTGGCGCCGGTCATGCTGCCGGGCTGTGATGAGGTTTCGTCCCTTCCTTATTCGGGTTGCAGCATTGAATCTCAACAGCATCTTTTCGGTCGTTGTGCTGCCTGGACGGTGTGTGGTTTGTGCTCGTTGATGCAAAGAGTGGTAGGGTTTGAGGCCCGAGCATCAGCGCGTTTGGAGAATTGAGGCGCTTGAGGGTAGACCGAACATCAAGCCAGTCGAGAAAAGGCCGAGGGAAATTGGAAGGAAAATCCAAAAAGGGCGGAGTGATGCTTGTTGCCTCAGGGGGCTCAGCTTGAAGGATTGGGGTGCAAGCAGGACTGTTGCAGCAGGGCAGGGTTGCAAGCATCAGCATGATCTCTGCATGTTCTTGCTTGTGCCATGTCAGGCAGGGGTCTCACCCTCCAGCAGCTGCAGAGAGCCCTGGAGGCCTGGATGCAACATCACAGCTGCTTGCTATCAAAGCATGCCTGCTGCTGGAGACTTGTTTGTAGCATCAATGTCTGTCACCATCCACCGCTACCTTGAGGTCAAGATGTGTCGCGCGGCTGGCCGGGCTCTTCCGAGTCCCAAGCCCTGGCCTGGCCTTAGGCCGCGCGGCCTCCTGCCTCCTCTTCCTTTCCGGCATCCATCTCGCATCTCTCTCCACTGCTTGGCAGCACAAGATGATGGAGTGGGGCACCTACTGCCTGTTGTGGAAGGCAGCCTCCTTCAAGGAGTTCCTCAGGGAGAGAGGGGAGTTCTTGCAGGACCTGAGCCAGGAGGGGAAGGGTGCTCTGGATCACCTGCACAAGGAGGGAGGCATGGTGACCAGGTCCATCAAGAGCCTTGAAAGGTGAGCAGCTTCTGTCATGCTGAGGCCAAGGAGCTGACAAACGTGAGGGGCTCATAGAGATGGAGGGCTGACCATGGTCCTCATATTCTTGGGCTATACAGAGACCTTGACACAGTCTTCAAGACGGGGAGCTACAAAACCCCTCCCACGACAAGTTCATCGTCTACCTTTGGGCCTTCAAGGTGGACCTCAAGGACCTTGTTCCCTGGGTTGAGCAGTACGCCAACGGCTGTTCCCAGGCCAACAAGGGCAAGGCCAACAAGTACCTCGTCAAGGTCAAGGCCTTGCCACCAACAAGGACATCAAGACGGTCTACCTGCTCTATGTGGGCTCCACCCAGGCTCAGGTTGTGGACAGGCAGCGTGACAACAAGGTCGCCAGCAAGAGGAAGGGGGACACCACCAAGGTGACCCTCCTGTACTACCTCCTGGAGAGGCTCTGTAAGCAGGGACACCTTGAGGCTAGCAAGAGCCTATACGTCCTGGACAGCCCAAGGACCCACGACAACCTCCAGCTTGTCGAACGCCTCCTCTTGGCCCTCTTCAAGCTGGACACCCTCCTCAACATGGTCCCAGGAGGTAACCTCTTCAAGGTCTTTGTCCCCTCGACCGTCAAGGACATGGCGACAGCCCTGGTATCAAGGAGCAGCAGCAGCGCCACCACTGCCACCTCCAGCACCTCCTCGAGCACGGCCCCAAGCACCTCCTCCACCACCCCCTCTGTGGCTCTGCAGGTCCTTTACCTCACCATCGCCCCAGAGGACTCCCCCAAGTACAATCAGGCCATCATAAGCCGCCTTGTCAAGACCTTGCAGGAGGGCTCTCCTTCCCCCATCCACATCAAGGCTGTAAGGGAGGATCACAAGGGCCTGGTATCGGACTCCAGCAAGAAGGGAACCACCATCATCCTTACCATGCTTCCGGCCTGGAGCCACCATGGCCAGGCACATCCCTGCCTGTATCCAGGCCCTTGACCACCTTGCCATTGTCTTTGACTTCTTTGTTGCTGAGGGAATGTGCACAGCCAAAGACATCATTCAGATCAAGGGGATCATCAAGAGGACCATCAGGACTTGTGAGAGCAACAAGCAGCTGGGCCTCAGCCCTTTGGAAAAATCACGCGCCTCAACGAGGCAAGCTCAACGGTTTGCAGCAGGCCCTTCATCAGTGCAACAAGCAGCAAGCTTGAAGGACACTGCAACAGGCAAGCTCGAAGCAGGCTGATGTTGGCCACTGAATCGATCGACGCACTGCAGCGGACTCTGCTCGTCAGACGAGCGGGAATCCGTGCGATGCTGCAGCGGCCGCGACGACACAACAAGACAGTGCTGCCCAGCGCCGAGGTCAAGGTGTACATTCCCACAGCAACGCTGCGATCAATTCAGAGACGTCTGCCACGCGATTCCATCGAGTGCTCGAAGAGATCGACGATCGGCGAATGTACATGCCTCCCAGGAGCGCGGGGGTCACGGCGCCGCTCGTAGGACGCGAGGGAAGTCGCGGGCGGCGTGCAGACTTGCACATGACTGTCACCGGGGTACAGCGGCAGGCTCTCTGACGCATGATGTGGCAGTCCCGTCCCTGAATCGAGCGAAGAGGTCCTCGCTGACGAGAGGCACCGGGGAAGTGACAGGAAGGGCGAAGGCGCGTGCGACATCGCGCGGCGGGGGCTCGCGGCGGGCAGGCCAGACCGGCCGGCAGAGACCGTGATTCCACTGAGGCGGACCCAGAGGAAAGCCGACAGGCAACGAGAAGGGCGCCCAGATCCAGGACGGACGCCCCGAGGGGCAGCAAGTTGCCGGAAGCATCCGCGGACGGAACACAGTCGTGCGCGAAGGTGGCGAGACCGTGAGAGCCTGGTGGCGCCCGAGCTTGAGCATCTCAGCTGTCGCGACGCCGCACAAGCCTCCTCCTACGTCCCCCCGCTGTCGTCACGGCGGGGCAATCACCGCGGGATGAGCATGAAGGCATGGCGAGGCAAGGGATTCATCCAGTCACAGGGCGGGCGGGGTCGCAACTCTGTTTGCTCGTTCCCCAGACTCGGTCAGCAGCATCATTCGTCGACGGCGGCAATGGTGGCGGCGGGGGTATCGATGCAGCAGGCATTGCGGACGGGCGCGGTTGGCGCAGGATCGCCGTAGAACGAAGGGAAATTGCGGGGTCGCATGTTATCGTTGCGAGGGCCGACGACGGCGCTGCGACGATGCGTGAAGCAGGTCGGTATGGAACACGGCGCTCCGAAGGCGGGGCGGAGCGGAGCGGGACGGATCCGCTGCGCCGGTCGTCGCCATCGCCCAATCTCCCATGTCTGCCGCGGCCCCGCTTTGCCACAACGGCGGGGAGCACGACAAACGACGGCGGAAGGGCGCGGCGCGAAGGAAGGCTGAGCCAGGGTCGCTGGGGTCCGGGAGTGATGCCGCCGCTCGTCTGTGCTTAGCCGAAAGGCTTGGCATCTGCACCTGCACGCCCCCTCCCCTCACTTCGGTCAGTCGCTTTCTCTGGCGTACAGCCCTGGCTCTGGACCTTCCTGCCGCGTATCATGCTGCCGAAGTCGCCCGCAGCAGCTTCGCCTTCTGTGCTGTCGCTGGACCCTGACGAGCGAAGCAGTTAGTTGACCGACGGCTAAGCCCTGCCTCCATCCCTCGCTCTCGAAGATCTCCCAATGCCCGCACCGTCATCTGCCTCGCACCGCTACTCTAAGCGGCCCTTCCGTTCACCGTCTGCTGACACTGTACATGTATGTAGAGTACTGTCACGCTTGAGCTGCAATGGACAGAGAAGCTACGGGCGCATCGTCCTCGTCACCCTTCGGAGCTGTCACCTCCGCTACTTGGCACGCCCTGGTTCAGATGCTTGGGCAGCCAACCAGTTGGTGACCTCGAGCCCGACGCAGCTTCATCCGCAGTCGTGCACCACTCTGCCTCCTCGTTCCTCATCTGGGTGCGTTTGCTGTCTCTCCAAGTGGGCGGGACGCCAGCGACGAACGAGAAGGACTCGACCGCGTCCGTTGCCGCGCTCGGCATGACCCCGTCCGCAGCTTGCACCCTAGCAACGACGTACGTACGTAGTACGTTGTACTCGTTCTTCTTCCCGAATGTCGGACGACAGCCACGTTCGCCGCCGCCACGCTCGTTTCGCGCTAGCGATTCCATGTAATTATTTGACCACGCAAGGGCATCGTGTCGTACAGTAGCTCGCTTGCTACGGCTGGGCCCGAAGTAATTCACATTTACCATTATCTGCGCCGAGGAAGACTAAGACCGGTGCGCAGACTGCCGCGTATCGGCTGGACTCGCCTATCTTGCCCATGATGCGTCGCAAAGAAGAACCGTCGCGCTTCTCACCTGTCGTCGCTCTCGTCTCTCGTTCGCCGCCCTGATCGCCTACCGTAGCCGACCAGGGTACATCTTGGCTGAGCTGCAGCCGGGTCGGCAAGCACAGTCGGAAGGTGCAAGTGTTGCTATTGTCTTCGCTCGACGGTCCAGAAGTGGGTAGCTCTCGATTGCTCTCGCCGCCGCTCTCTGCCGTCTGCGCAGCTGGTTGTTCACCGCAAGACTGTGCTACGCCTTGAGCTTGACCAGTCGACGATGGAAAGCACTCGGAAGACGCCCTTCCGCCTCGCCGCTCGTTCGTCCCGCCCTTGTAACCTTGCTTGATAGCGAGCTATCTATCAACAGCTGCAGAGCATTGCGATTCCCACGTCCTCGTTCTTGATCGTCGGCATCGTTCAGCGCACAGGCGTCCGAGCCGGCGAGAGCAGCGAGACGAGACAGGGGCTCACTACTGTGCGGCTCGGCCAGCTTGAGGCCAGGGCGGTTCCCTCGGACCGACTCCACTTCGCTGCCGGATCGCCGCTTGGGAGCAAGGTGAAGCTCCGAGTCTGAGCATCGCAGTCTCGTGAGAAAGGAGATTGATGCAGCGGAATCGGTACTGCAATTGCTGATACCGGCTGTCTTCCGGAGAAGACGCCGGACCGACAAAACAGGCCGGCCGTCTCCTGCGCACTAGTTACAGGTGACTTGCTGGCCCGACCGAGAGCTTCTTCGTTGACTTGCCTCATGCTCGTCCTTCTTGAGCGCTACCTAGCTAGAGGCCTGTCGCGGTGTCAGTAGGGTATGTACTGTACCGCGCACACGGAAAAGGGCTTTCCGATGCGCCTCGCTACTCTAGCGTGTGTGTGTGCGCGCTGTAGACATCGAGAGGGTGGCAGGCGAAGATGTCGCGCGCGCTATCTGCTATCGCTTTTACGCCGATCGCCGCTATTCTTCGAGACGAGACACTCGAATCTACCCCGCGGGCAGCACGGCATAGCTTCGATCCACAACTTCGGACAGCGTCCCTAGCTTGGGGTGGCATGGTGACCGGCTGAACCGATCCTCTGCCTGCTCCGTATACGCTGCTCGTAGAGATATAAAGGCCTTGTCCACCCGTAACTCTCCTCTTCAGACCATCCTCCATCGCAGTCTTCCTCTCTCGCGCTCTCTTACACACAGCCCTAGACCACCGGAACGTCCTAGAAAGCTCTCCTTTCCTCCTCCAAAATGCAGATCAAGCTCACCTTCATCGTCGCTACCGTGGCCGTCATGGCCGCCACGGCCTTCGGCAAGCCCGTCGAGACCCAGCACATCTGCGGTAACAACGGCGCCGTCGACCCCGCCCTCGAGCAGCACATCGCCGACCGCGTCGCCGCTTCCCGCAAGGCCGGAGACAACCAGCGTGCCGCCGTCGTCGTGCCTGTGTGAGTCTCGGGCGCACGCCGCCACCGCCTATTACCGCCGCGACGCGTCGGGCTGAGCCGCGCGCGGGGAAAATTCGCAGAGGTACTGACATCGTCGCCGCTCCTTTGCTCCGACGTCGACCGATCAACAGCTACTGGCACGTCATCACCGACGGCACCTCGGGCAAGGCCACCTCCACACAGATCCAGAACACGATCAGCCTGATGAACGCCGAGTACGCCGGCACCGGATTTAGCTTCCAGCTCGCCGGCACCGACACTACCGTCAACTCCAACTGGTACAACAATGTCAACCAGGGCACCTCTGCTGAGGCTGCTATGAAGAACGCACTCCGCAAGGGCGGACCTGAGAGTTTGAACATCTACACGGTCTCCTTTGGCAACTCTGGCTTGCTTGGATATGCCACCTTCCCCTGGTCCTACAGCAGCGCCCCCAAGAACGACGGCCTGGTTATCACGGCCAACACCTGGGTCGGCGGATCATACCCGAATTACGGCACCGGCAAGGTGAGTCCGAGTCCCGAAGCTACGACGGACTTACGTCACTTCACCAGCTTCAAATTGCAGTCATTGCACAGGAAACGGCTGAGCCGTGAGAGAGAAAGAAAAAAATTACCGGACGCGTCGCGCTCACCATTTCCGCCCGTCCTCTTCGTCCCGTTTCCTCGCCACAACGCCGACTAGGTCTTCGTTCACGAGGCTGGCCACTGGTTCGGCCTGTACCACGTCTTCCAGGGAGGCTGCTCGGGCTCCGGCGACGGCGTCGACGACACTGCCCCCCAGTCGGCGGTCACGCGCGGATGCCCGACGGGCCAGGACTCGTGCCCCGGCGGCGGACTGGACAACGTGCACAACCACATGGACTACTCGTCGGACGCCTGCCGCACCGACTTCACCCCTGGCCAGATCTCGCGCATGCAGAGCATCTCGGGCACCTACCGTTTCTAAGCGGTCGCCGGTGCGGTGCGGTGCGGCGCGGCGCGTCGATAAAACGAGATCGCGCTCTCACGGGCTCGGCGCGCGGTCGACTCGATGGGCCCTATCGCACTGCTAAGGGCAGCTTCTCAATTCCTCCTAGAGGAATCGCAAGGGGGCGGAAGCGGGTCGTCAGGACCGCCTCGCTCGGGGCAGTCTCTCCTCGCTCTCCCTCCTTCCCTTCTGTTTCTCTCACGCTTCTCATGATCACGGGAATGTCACGTCCACTGTGGGATCGTTTTCGTCCCCTCACCAACTATCCATCGTGCGTGGTACGCCGCTATCAGGATGCGTCGACCTCGCTCGTGCACCGAGAGAATCTGCAGGCTAGCGCTTCCCGGCGGACTGGGAGCGTGCGCGCTCGGGACGGCGTGCCCGGGCGCACAGCGGCGATGCCAGGGCCCAACCTGACAGGCCAGGTTTCAGGCACCGGCGCCGAGGGCGCGCGCACGCGACTGACGAGGCGGGGTCCCGCACGGACTCCGTCGAGCTCCGGAGCGGCGCCGACTTAGCTTGACCCCCGCACGGCTCACACCGGATCTCACGGCACCGCCGGCCACGACCGAAGCAAGCAACGAACCTTGCCCTCCCAGTCCTGAGTCTGATCGCCGGAGCCGATCATGGGAGAGAACGATTTCATCAATCGAGTTGCAACCGGTCCCGGACCCCGTTGACATTGGTGCTGCAACCATCGGAGCGGTGCCACGGGGCTGCAGCGGCCACCCCCTCGGCATCGAACCCGGCGCCGCTCGCTCTCCCACCCACTCGGAACGTGTCCCGAAAAAGTGGCGTGCGACGCCTCCCGAAATCTCGAAATGCTTTCCGGCCCGACGCCGGCCGGGCGGTGCCTGTGCTGATGCGGCATAAGGACACTGACGAACCGTTCCATTACGTCGACTTTGTTCCAATGTGGCTGTACGTGGTGCGCCGCCACGAAGCCCGCACCTGCGGCGTTCTGTGGTTGGTCGCGACGCCACGTCCCGGGAAGCTTCGCCGACAAGTCAAACGGCGTATAAAGGAACATGACGGGCTGTGGACGTCCCCGGGGCGACGGCGTGCAGCGCCGACTGGTAAGCTCGGCAGCAGGTCATCGGATGCGTTTCCGCGAGGCTCCGTCACTTTGTGAACAGCGGCCGCAACAGTACCGTCAGGAAGGTCGCGACGATCTTGAGGGGAGCGGCTGCACGAGCATCCCTTCATGAGATTCAAGCCAAAGCATCCAGAGCGAGCACGTATAAAGCATGGCTCGCAGCAAACGCTCCCATCTGTTTCCACCCAACATTCTCTACAATTTCTGTGCCCCTCGTCGCCATGAAGCAAAACCTGCCCGTCATTATCCTCCTCACCTGGATGCTGCATCTGCGCTTGAACGCAGCCGTTTCACCAGACATAGCCTTCAGCCTACTCAGCGTCGAAGCTCTGTACCAACACTCGAATTTCCACCGCGCCGTCGATGTCGTCCTCGCCGATGCCGACCGGATGATGGGTATCGAAGCCAAAAGGTATGTCAATTCCATCTTGCAGTCGCCGGATCCCTCCGCACACTGATCTGATGCGGCCGAAGCTGGTCGGTGGACTCGAGGCGTCTCAGGCGTATGGCGGTGCAAGAGAACCAGGCGCAGAGGGCACTGTTGGCCAACACTCTGGGTATCTCGCCTGTTGATCCGGAGCTGATTGCTTCGGACCAGGCTGCCAGAGAGGCTTAGTGAGTCGTTGCGCCCGTCGCGTCGCCATCTCCCAGCTCCCGACTGAGCAGATCACACCGACCTCGTCCGGCTCCCCTTCTCTTCCCAGCTACCAAGACATGGTCTACATGCGGTACGCCTCCACCATGCGGTCCAAAACAGCCTTACAATGCTATCACTGACCGCCCTAGGACCCCGCTTCCTCCTCTCTTCTGGACCTCGCAATGTACCTCCTCGAATCGTGGCGCGACAGGAACAAGGTGCGGGACTGGAACGCCCGAGCCGATTTGTACGACGCCGCGCACCCCGAGCGGGAATCCGAGACGGATCGATTGGGCCAAGCTCGGCGCGTCTCGCTCAGGATCCAGCGCGGAACCAAGATGCGGCAGCTCGAGGTCCATGTTGCGCTGCTCGAGCGAGCTCGGGCTAGGGAGTTGCAGAACCAGGCTCGCGGTCCTGCCGGCCCGGCGCTTCATCCCGGTGTGCATGTCGGTGGTTTCGCCTCGACCGGTGGCCATACTCCCGCGATCGAGGGCCATTTTGGCGCCCCGGCTGCTGCGGATGGTCGGTTTCCTCTGGCGTCGGATGGGAGGGGCAAGTCGACCGTGGCTGGGTACGAGCTCGATCCCGCGTCGTACGCACATTACAGGCAAGCTGGGACGACACCAGGAGGTCAATTGTGGGGACTGAGCGAGGCGAGCGGAAGCGGTCAGCCGCACTACGCGGACCGACCGGGCGGCAGCGCCGAGCTCGGACACCTGCACAGAGGATCAAGCGAGGAAGACCATTCCCTGATGGACCACGTTCCACCGTACTCGGTCGGCGACACGAGCCACTACGACGTCCCAGGCTCGGCACAACCCGACGACGCCGATGCCGGATACTCTTACTTGATGGATACAGAGGGCGGCGATGGCGGAGGACACGGCGGCAGTGACGAACTGTGGCAGGTCGTTAGTCGCGCTACGCGTCATCACCCCGGCGATTCCAACGGCGCGCCCGCGGCATCCCACCAACCCACCGGCACGCAAGGGAGCGAACCGGCGGCCGAGGGTAGCCAGCCTGCCTTTGACCATTCCTATCCCTGGGGTTGGGGCGGCGGTGACGGCCCGTCGTGGGGACATTCTGACCGACGCCGACGACGTCGTCGTTGACGGGTCTATCGCCTTCGATCCCGCATCGAAGTCGTGTCGATTACCCAATTATCGACCGCTGTCTACGTGCCGTGCTGCGCTGTACATACATCGCATTCCAAACGTTCTAGATCTTGGGCGCAGGGAGATCGTCTATCTCCTCGCTCGCCTCGAGACCGCGCCAGTCCCAGTCCTCCTGAACCTCGACCTGCGCCCTTTGCACCTCGTCGGCCGGGTCGGCGCTCTTGGCGAGCACGAGGTCGTACCACCCCTTGCGGACCTTCCACCTGCCCGCGTCCTGACACCATCGCGACAGCATCTCAGCCCTGATGGGCAGCTCGACCCGTGCCTCCTTGCCAGCCGCGAGCCGTACCGCGTCAAAGGCCACCAGACTTCGCCCCGTCCCCGCTCCAAAGGCGTCTGCGAGGTAGATCTGCACCACCTCCTTGCCGCTCCTCTGGCCGACGTTGCGGACCGTCACCTCGGCCACGGCGTTCGAGGAGCGCGAGACGCCGCCGCGGACGCGCATCGACGAGGTGAAGCGGGTGTAGCCGGCGAGTCCGCCGCCGAACCACACGGTGGGCCGGACCGAGCGCGTCTCAAAGTGACGGTAGCCCATCGACAGCGCCTCGTCGTAGTAGGTGTTGGGCCCCACATCGTCGTCGTCTTCCATGATGCCGGGAAATCCGCGTGGCCCGAGCGAGGCAGCGGGGATGTCCTCGAGAGACTTGGCCCATGTGTGCGGCATGCGGCCCGATGCCGGTGCAAAGCCCTGGCCGAAGAGCACGTCGCACAGCGCCGATCCCGACTCTTGGCCGCCGAACCAGCCGTGTACGACAGTGCTGTGGTCGAGAAAGGGGAGCTCGATGGCTGCGCCCGACACCGTGACGACGACCGTGTTTGGCTGCGCCTCGAGCACCGCGCGCACCATCTCGTTTTGGCCGCGCGGCAGGCAGAGGGTCTCGCGGTCGAATCCCTCGCTCTCCCACTCCGGCCCCGTCGAGACGAGCACGACGGCCAGGTCACTCGACGCGGCGACCGAGGCGGCCTCTTGGATGTCGAGCTTGGGGTCGCGCACCTCGTAGCCTCCGACGCCGAACGAGGAAAAGAAGCGCTTCTCCCACGCCCCCAGGCCGCGCACGGGCTCGTAATCGAATGTGATCCGCTGCCGCCGCCCGGCCTCGAGGTGGAGGCGCCGCTCGATGCGGTAGTGGTGCGGGTGCAGCAGGTACTCGAACGGATCCTTCTCGCCCTCGAATACCAGCGGCGCCTTGCCGGTCGCGATCGTGAGCCGGCCAAAGGCGTGGTACTGGAGTACGTAGTCCATGTCACGGTCCGATTGCAGGTCGAAGCTGGCGGTGATCGACCACGTCTTGGCGTCGAGCTTGCCCTCGCGGGCGAGCGGAGGTAGGCCGTTGAGGCTCGCATCCCAGCGGAGCGAGTCCGGCTGCGTCCTGCCGCGCAGCTCGCGCTTGCCGCTCTCGCTATCGCGGCTGTACCACTCAAACTCGATGCCCGAGACGAGGTCGGTGGGCAGCGGTGGGGCAAACGACCATGTCTCGCATCCCTGCGCGACGGCGACTTCGCTGCGATCCCCGAGGAGCGCGGTGACGGCCGAGTGGAGTGACGAGACGTGCTGCGGCTTGAGGTTGGCCGATCCGCCACCAGACTGGATGGGCTGCGTGACGGCCCGGCCGATGAGCGCGATCCTGCGCGGTGGGGTCATGGGATCCAGCGGAAGGAGGCCGGCCGAGTTGCGCAACAGCACCGCACCCTCGGCGGCAATCTGGCGGATCACGTCGGCGGTCTCCTGGATCTCTGGCGAGGTTTCGCTCTCTTCTGCGAGCGTGCGGAAGCCGAGCGGCGCCACCTGCTGTATGAGCCGCAGCACGGCCGCAGCGCGACGGTCAATGTCGACCTCGGTGACGACACCATCCTTGATCAGCTGCAGGACGCGGTCGACCTTGCGGTGGATCGACGGCCCGGGCATCTCGAGGTCGGTCACCTTGAGGCCGTGGTTGTGGAGTGCGAGCCAGTCGGAGACGACCAGCCCGCCGAAGCGCCACTCGTCGCGCAGGATCCGGTTGTAGAGCCAGTCGTTTTCCGAGCAGCTGACGCGGTTGAGGCGGTTGTAGGCCGTCATGATGGACGCCACCGAGCCTCGAAAGGGCCGGGCCTGTGCGCCGTCCTCGCCCTTGCGGTGGGCCTCTCGGATGCGGGCCAGGGCGATCTGAAAGGGGCGGAGGTAGACGGTGCGGAGGGTGGTCTCGTCGACGTTGCTCGAGTTGACGCGGCGGCGATGCTCGGCCTCGTTTGCGACAAAGTGCTTTAGGCAGGCGCCGACACCCGTGTCCTGGACGCCGAGGACGTACTCTCCGCCCAGGGCGCCGCAGAGCAGGGGGTCCTCGGAGTAGGTCTCAAAGGAACGGCCGTTCCTGGGGTCGCGGACCATGTTGATGGTGGGGCCGAGGAGGAGGTGGACCTGCTTGCTCTTGGAGTCGCAGGCGATGGCGTTGCCCATGCGGTAGGCGAGGGAGCGGTCAAAGGTGGCGCCGAGGCAGCTCGACGAGGGAAAGAGGGCGGCGGGGGTTGGGTCCGAAAACGAGCCGCCACCGCGTGCGCCACTGGGGCCATCGGAGAGCTTCAGGCAGGGGATGCCGCGCGAGGGGACGGCGTGCGTTCTCCAAAAGTCGTCGCCCGACGTGAGCTGGATCTTTTCCGTCGTCGACAGCTGCGATAGCTGTGCCTCTATCCTGGCGTCGAGGTCGTCATCGTGAGGGCGGTCAAAGTCGATGCCAGGCGACATGGCAAAGGGACGTCGCTGTGTCTTCCTGCTTGGTAGTGCAGCAGAGAGCGAAGTGGTGTAGCAGGGCCGGGGCAATAGAGCGGGTGGTGGTGGTCAAAGGAGGCTTGCTCCAAGGCGGCGGGCGGCGGGCAGGGGAGGTAGACGTCGGGGCGATGGCAGCGTGCGGGAAAGCGGGGCAGCGTGTACCGAGCGCTGGATCCCGAGTCGACTCGGTCATGCTGTGACGGTGACTTGAGGGCTGGTCCGGGCACGGTACTAGGCCGGTGCGACCTTTCAGGGGCAAGAGGACAAGGGAGCGGGAGGGCCAGCTGGTGCAGCCAGAGTAGTGACAGGGCCTGCCGGTACGACGGGCGCCGGAGTGGTGGAATTCCCCGGTCAGGGTCGTCGGGCCAGATGCTGCCGGCTGTTTCCCGAAGGCTGGTGACCGGCAATGATGCGAGCGGGCGCCTCTTGACGGCCGATGGTGCCACGAAACGGGGCCGAGTCTGGGCCAGGCAGTGCAGTCGTGCCAGAGTGGGCGCGCCGAATGGACACGACCTTGCGGACGAGGAGGAGGACGAAAGTAGTCGGAGCGGTGCTGTGTCGGTCGCCTGGCCCGCCGTTTGCCTGGCATGCGGTCGATGTGCTGCTACAGATCGAGTGTGGGTGGGGAGCAGGCCGGCGGGAGGGTCAAGGTACGGCGGCGGCAGCAGCGCCTGGTAGCAGCGCAGAGTGACCGGCCAATTCGACGGCCTCTTGGAATCCACCTTTGCTTGACGAGGCTCCGCACCCTCTGCGCCGGAAGGCTAGCCGCGACCGAGGTTCCATCGGGGGCGAGTCCGGCAGCCTCCCGATGAGTGCGGGTGGGCCGATTGGCATCGCCGCTCCTTTGGCGTTCGAGCGGCGGGTGCGCCGACGGGACACCATCAGCACCGTACTTCCCAAGCTCGGAACGGCTAGCGTGTCGATGGGAGATGAGGCCGCGCTCGAAGGGATTGCCCTCACGGCGATGAGCGAGCGGCTGACGAAAGGGAGCAGGGGACGAGAGGTGATGGTGGGTCGTAATGAGCCCCGGAATCCACGGCCGAGGGTCGTCGCTGGCCTGAGGCTTTTTTGTCACCGCGCCCGGTCGAGGCCGAGGCCGGAAGCGATCACAGCTCGCTCAGGGCAACCTTGCAGCGACACAGAATGTCTAAGGAAGCAATGGAATGCTATGAGCGGTCGAGGCCTCGAGGCTGTCGCGATGGCGAGCGGGAAGAAGGGCGAGCGGGCCAGCCAGCGGAAAGGAGCGGGCGGGGGCATCGGCAGGGTGGCGGTGTCCCAGCAATTCGCCCAATTCGCGGGCAGCCAGTCAGCCAAGCTGGGCCAGACGAGTCCAGCCTTGGCAGGTCAAGCCCTGCCTGCCTGCTGCTTGCTTGCTTGCTTGCTTGGCGGACCTCCCCGGCCTGGACCCTGAGATGCTGGGCTGACCGCTGCCCGCTTCCAGCCTGAGCTTCCAGGTCGCCGCGAGCAGCGTCGGCCTGGCCGACGGGAGCGCCGGACCGTGGACTGCACAGACCGCTCCCTCGTTGCTGCCTTCTCTCTCTCTCTCTCTCCCTCTCTGTCTCTCTCTCCACGTCTGCTTGCCCAGCGCACCGTGTACCTTCCAAAGTGCGGGGAGAGCCGGCGCATCTCGCTTTGGCCCGGCCTGGTCATTGCTTCCTCGCTCTCCCGCTCCCCGTCGCCGTCGCCGCGCCCCGGTCGTCGGGCCTGGACCGAGCAACGTTAAAAGCAGCAGCGGCTTGGGCCCATCGGCGGCTCCCCGTCATCACCCCACCATCGACACCGTCCCTGCCGCCACTACCATCCCTGCATCTTCTCCTCTCCACCCAGCACCGCCACCACCACCACCGCAGCCACAGCCCAACATGCCCTCTGACGGTTCCTCCAACAAGCGCGTCATGCGCTGGGGCATCCTCGCGCCCGGCGGCATCGCAGAGACCTTTGTCGGCGACCTCCAGCTCGACCCCGCCACCCGCGGCGTCACCGACGTCGCTCACCGCGTCGTCGCCGTCGGCTCGGCCTCGGGTCAGAAAAAGGCCGACGACTTTGTCAAGCGCATGTACACGACAAAGGAGCAGGTCGAGGAGGCCAAGGCCATCAGGACCTACGGCTCCTACGACGAGCTGGTCCGCGACGCCGACGTCGAGATCATGTACATTGCCTCGCCCCAGTCGCACCACTACCAGCAGATCAAGCTCTGCCTCAACGCTGGCAAGCACGTCCTCTGCGAGAAGCCCATCACCATCAACGCCGAGCAGATCCGCAAGCTCTCGGCCCTCTCAAAGGCCAAGAACCTCTTCTTCATGGAGGCGCGCTGGACCAAGTTCATGGACATCTTCCGCGAGATTGTCAAGCTCGTCCACGAGGACAAGATCCTCGGCCACGTCTACCGCGTCCACTCCGACTTTGGCCAGGAGCTGCCCGAGGACCACCGCCTCTACTTCCCCGAGCTCGGCGGCGGCGGTCTGCTCGACTGCGGCATCTACCCGCTCACCTACCTCACCGCCCTCCTCTGGGACCACCCGGACAACCAGCGCGCCCGCCCGCGCGTCACCGGCTCGATGCGCATCAGCCCCAAGTTCAAGGTCGACGAGGACTCGACCGGCGTGCTCCAGTTTGACAAGATCAACGCCACCGGCATCCTCACCGTCAACATGCGCGTCGACCTCCACCGCCCCGCCTTCCACACCATCATCCAGGGCGACAAGGGCGACATCCTCGTCCACGGCACCCACACCTCGCGCCCGACGGCGTACAGCATCGTGCTCAAGGGCCAGAAGCCCGTCACAAAGGAGCCCCACATCCCCGGCCACGGCTTCTTCTGGGAGGCCGACGAGTGCGCCCGCTGCATCGTCGCCGGCAAGCTCGAGAGCCCCGTCGTCAGCCACGAGGAGAGCATCTTTGCCATGGAGATCATGGACGAGATCCGCAAGCAGGGCGGCCTCCAGTTCCCCGAGCAGATCGAGAGGGCCGACTGAATGCCTCGCTTCTCTCTGCTTCGCCACCTCGCACAGGAGACGTGGCGAGCGCCCGTTTGCCCTGCCTCGAGGAAAAGGCACATGTGTACATAGAGCTCGGGTCGTCGTCGGCTTGGGGTAACAATAATGCTAGATGTTTGTCACCAGTCCCAAGTCTCCACCGTGCGTCGAGAGCCAGGGCCGGCAGTCCAGTCGGCGAGGAAGCGCCCACGGTGATCATGGACAAGATACGCAGCAGGACGGGCCCCACATTCCCGCGACGAGGCTGGACACGCCGCTTGTGCATCAAGGTTGGCACAGACCACGCCCCACATCACAAAAGCTAGAGCGTCGTGCATCCTTGATATCGGTTGCTGCATCAATGACTGTTGCAATACCTCAGCATTGTTCCTGCAGACGTCCTGGTCTCGAGATGCTTGTCTGTCTGCAACGTGCTCCTTCATGTTCCTGGCATCACCAAGCCCATGATATCAGGGCGCTCATTGTGCCTCTTGCCCTCAGGAGCCCACTTCTGCCTCTCCAACTTGTCCTCATCCACTGCTTCTTCAGACTTGTCTCATGCTCCCTCCTCAATCAGCAAGGCCAGGTAGTTCCACCATACATCAAGGAGCTCAGCTGCTGTGAAGATGGTGGGCAGCAAGAGCTCCACAACCAGTACCCCTTCCCTGTCTGCCTTGTTTGCATCCATCCCATCCACCCCATAGCTTGAGGTCTCTTCTGGCAGGACAAAGATGCTCACCCCCTGGTTAGGATGTCTGAGATGAGCGATCCATCCTTGAGCTGATCCCCCTCCAGCCGTTCCTCGATGTGTTTAGCGCCTTTGGGGTAGGCGGTAATCCTGTTAGCGTCCTGCGTGCCCTTCTTCTTGATGATGAGGAGGAAGGTGTGCACGGTACCTTTGGGGTCAAGGGTGGACAGGCCAGGTTGCTTGTTCTTCTTGTTTGGGTAGACCGCCCTGTTGAGAGCCGCTTGGGCCGTGGTCACAATATCGTCATCCACAAGCTTGTCCTTCCTCAGCAGCTTGAGGATGAATGCTGCTCTTGGATCTGAAAGGAGGTATGAAGGTGTCGCGCGGCGGGCTGGGCTCGGATCCGAGTTCCGAGCCTTGGCCCAGCCATCAGCCGCGCGCGCCCGCCTCTTCCTCTTTCCGTCTGGCATCCATCTCACTTCTCACACGCTCCGCCAGCACAGAAGGGCTCATCCTCCAGAGCTCCTTGATCCTCTTGCCCTTTGCCTTCCTCCCCACCAAGGTCACCTGAGGTAGGGCACCCTGAGCCCCAGGGTAGGCGACGAGGGCCACCTGCCCCTGCTCCCAGTTGAGGGCCTCTCCCAGCCTTCCTGCGTCGTAGGTGGTACCCTCCACCCTTCCATCCACCATCAGCCAGATGGTACGGACAAAGCGCCCCTCCTTTTGCCTGGTCGCCAGGGGCGGAAGATCTTGCCAAAGGTCTTCCCTTGACGCCACCTTTGACTGGAGAAGTGTGGCCTCACTCCACGCTTTCTCGCCAAAAACGCTCATCTGTTCCCTAATCGATACCTCCCCGGCGCAGAGTATCTGCATGACCTTTTTGTCTGGCTTCTTGTGGTTGGCCAGAGGAGACCTGCTGAGAAGCAAGGCAAGGGTGCAGACGATGGCCACCTCAGTGAGGATGGGCAGGAATGCAGTCGGTCGGTACTCGCTTGCGCCGATTGCCGCCGTGCCAATGAGGGTGATGTTAGGCCCTCGGGGTCTTAGGATACCGCGAGCGGCCGAGGACGGTAGTGGGCTTGCGCGGAGAGGTCAGGGATGAGGAGGAGTGGGATATCGATGCTGTACCAGTCTCCAGTGAGAAGAGGATATAGTACATTCGACGAGGAGACCATCAGGGGCCTCCTCGGGAACCTAGGGACTTTATACTGGCCCCCTCGGGATCCCCTCGTGGCCGAGGGACCGGCTGCGGCAATTGCCGCTCGGCTCCGCCGTCCGTCAGCCCGTCCTCGGGACTCGGGCACCCGCGGGCCACGTTAGGCAGCCGCCTAACAGGTGATTGACTTGCCCCGTGGCCCTGAGAACAGGGAGGCACCCGCTGGACCTGGTACTGCTTGGCCCTTTCGTCCGACGCCCAGGAAGTTGAGGGCGGCTTTGGCCGTGTTTGCCTCAACGGCAGTAGACAAGGTCGATGTCCAGCACTAGGCGGTCCAGCCTTTCTCCAGGAGGCTGCAAGCCATGCAATGTGACAGGCTGGACTCCTCAATCACAACAATATGCCTGCGCTCTCATAGCTAGCAGCAAGGGGGATCTGGCTTCTGGCGCGTAGGGCCGCTACGCTTCGGAAAATCCCCGATCGTAACCCGATCTACGGTCTAGCCCCTAGCGCAGATCGGCTACGCGCCAGGCATTGGGCCGGTGCTACGCTTCCGCCAGCGTAGCGGCCCTACGATTCCGCTACGCTTCGGAGCGTAGCAGCTGGCCCGCCGATGCCGCAGTGTAGGGCTGGTACGCTCCCAAGGCCCGTGGTGCATCCTGCTGCTGGCAGCCGTAGGCCTGCTACGCTCCCAGAAGCGTAGCACACGCAACGGCTGTGCGCAGCGTAGGCTGCCAGCGGCTGCCAGCATCCTGGACCGTAGCAACGCTGCGCTGCTGCGGCGTAGCATTGACATTTGCCACCCTAAGTACGACTCGCTTGTTTCCTCCATTTGCTGGCCGATACCTTTGCATTGCAATCTAAGCTAGCTACTACTATCTACGGGCGATCTTGCGAGCGGCGGCAGTGCAGATGTTGGCGATGTGGGCCCGAGCTGGCAAGCATCGACACGGAGCGAGGCACAGATAGAGGCGGGCGAAGGCGGCAGTTGAGGTCGGGCAAGGGCAAGCAACCGAAGCAATTGCTGCCGACCAAAGCAGTCACGGCCGTGCGCGAGGGTCGAGCTGGAGCTTGCTGGTTGAGGCGCAAAGGCATCGGCGGCAGTCTGGCGATGGCGTTGGGCAGGTCGACGTCGGCGGTGGTGGTGGTGCGAGGGCTGGCGGTGAAAAAGCGCAGAGCAGCACAAAAGGGCACGACGGTGGGCTACAGCTAAAGGGCGGTCAAGTGGCGTTGGAGATGGTGGTGGGAAGGGGAGGAAGAAGGAGCGCGCGCGCGTGCCAGAAAATGGCTGCCTCGCTGGCAGGCCTTGACCGCTGTCTCGGCCGAGAGGGAAAAAGGCAAGAGGCGCGCGCGCGCGCATCTCTGGCCCGCGGCAGCGGATGGATTGGCGGCGGCAGCGGCGGCGAGAAAGGGACGGCCGCGCGCAGGCTGGCTGGCTGGCAGGATTAGGACTCGGAGCCGAGCTGCCAGCCCGCTAGCCCGCGCGCGAGCAATCGAAAACTTCGAAAACGGGCTACGACGCGCGCCG